GGTTTGAACAACGGATCAACGTCATGGCACACCGGTAGTAACCCATAAGTGCTCCGTTCTTCTTCTAATTCAAGTCTGAGTCCGAAGAAGCTCCGTACAGTGCGCAGGCTCTATAGCACCGGCGAGAATCCTGAAATACTTTGGGTAAATTTTTTACTCCACATTTTGTCCGGGCAGCGCCGTTAGGCTACTCTTTTCGATTTTCAACTGCAAAGAATTTTTTTTACGTGCACAACAATGCACACGGGTGTCCAATCTCACTACACAGAGACCAGGGGGAATTACTAGAAGACCAAGTCCACGTGAAAAAAAAAATCACAGCCCTTAATGGGGATTGAACCCGGAACCTCTGGCCCTCGGGGCGGACACCATGCCTCGAAACCACGCTGCCCCTACGAAGGCTCATGTGGCAGGGCAAAACATGGAGAATAGAGGACGGCAGAGTCTATAAGGACATCCTCTATTGTAAAATAAATACAGGTAGAAGATTTTGAGGCCGACATCCACTACGATATAAGGACGTGGGCAAGCGGGACATACATGATACAGGTATTGCTGTGGACTCGTGGAAATAAAATGACATGGACTGTGGAGGGGGCACACCAGGAAGGGAATGAGAATGAAGAAAGAAATGATTGCAGAAAGGATGAGAGCTGAGATTCAGAGAAGACACAGACTTAATACAAATATTGACAACAACGGTTCTGAAATCCCATGCTATAACCATGGAAGATTTTTCCTAACTCGGCGGGTCTAGCTAGTCACACTTGCCATCGCCATGGGTTGTGAGTCTCATGCTTCCGTCTGGAAAGACGGAAAGGTGTCAGTGATGATAAATGATGATTGATTATCATCACTGAGATGTTAATCTTGTGGATTACAATCCTCGGTGGAACCAACCTCAATTCTTCAGCTCGGCGCGAATCCAGTATAAGTACAACAGAACATCAGCCAAACGTTCGCCGTTTCCTGTCTATCGACAATAGGTGACAGTCTCTCCAAGTGTTGTTTAACTATTCCGATATTCGTGTGAACAAGTTAGCTGGATGAAAGTAATTTTTTCACCCCTTGTTCTGTCCTTATATATTCTAGTAGCTCTGAATTAACATTCATTATAAAATCGTGCTTCTATCTTTCATTTTCTTGTTATTCCCAGTTAGAAAAACATAGAGAGAAATACTCAGTACTCACTTACTCACTACTCAGTGATAAGTAAAGCAGAGGTCTGAGAGGAGTAGGCAGTAGATGAGTAGGTAGAGGAGAGGAAAGCGAAAGATTTGTCTCTAAATAAAAATAATGATAATAATAAAGAAACGTCGCCTGTTTGTTCTGGTTATTCGTTAGTAGCTTTTCCTCAGGATACGCCCAATATATCATCTTCTTTGTCTTATAGTGATAGTGTTGATACCTGTGGTTGTCCAGACTTTTATATTAATCATTATTTGGCTCTACTTTGAACGGCGCCTTAAAATGGCGGCCATAATATGATGCCACATTGTGGCCATAAAATATCCAAAAATATCCGAATGGTGTTCAGGCGTATCTAAAATACGGACTTTCTGCCAAGAGACAAATCGCAGCAAAACTAGGATTACTTGACAATCAATATCAACATTGCACACGGAAGTAGCAGACGATAAATACTGACCGTTGACAATTTTGAGCGTTTCTGCAGACGACGATCTTAGCGACCGCTGGCCAATTTCGAGACATTACAGACGATGAAAGCCGATTAGCAATACTGTGTTCTTCCGATGGGAGGATTTAACAGCGGTAGATGTCAGACTTGTCGGCATGCGCCACACGCGATCGCAGAGCGTATCCCCTGTGCCGCTACGCGCGGTGCGGATGGGGGAGGAGGGGATAAAATAGGTGCTTGGAACTCACGAGTTAAGTAACTGGAGGAAGTTGCAGGAGATGCTGTAGCTGCTGCTTGTGAGTCCCAGCCATCTAGTTTAGTCCCCATCCGCACCATGCGTAGCTGCGCTGGGGGATACGGTCGGCGGTGAGGCACACTCGCAGAAGCAGGTCCGCAAGTAACATATTACCGAGACCCTGTTAAAGCATTTGTTTCGTTATACGGAGCCGGCACATATATTTTTAATAGAACTGAGCCGCATTCGGATATTTTTGGATATTTTATGGCCAGAATGTGACCAATTTAGCTCTCTTTTGAACAGCATCATATTACGGCCGCCATTTTAAGGATTAGCTGCTCTTTGTGGGTGAGTATGTTCTGTTTGTCTGTTGTTCATTTGTTACTTGTTATAACATTAGTAGTAATTTGAACTTAATTACAAAATATTACTAGTAAGCGTGGCCACGTTTGGGGAAATTCACAATCTGGACTTGGTAGTAATAAATAAAAATTGCTCAGGCTGATTCATCAACAACAGATAATTATGATAGCTGCATACAAAAATGGTTGCAGATTTCAGAAATATAAATCTTAAAGCAGTAGCAGAATAGAAGGTATTAGAACTTTAGGCTCTACTGGCAAATCCGGACGAAGAATAAACAGACTTGGACGACTTAGTCAGAGTTATCTCCCGTCGCCGCACTCCGAACAGTAATCGGAAAACAAACGAAACAAACGACACACTTACCTATCATCCTGCGGTTGCGTGTAGGGCTGCGTACGGTTGCGTGAGACATCATGGCATCATCATATGGTTGCGTGCACAGTTGCGTACGGTTGCGTGGGGCATTGTGAATGGTTGTGTAGTCATCATCATGCGGTTGTTGGATTAGAGTTAGGGGTAGGGTTAGGGGTAGGGTTAGGGTTAGGGTTAGGGGTAGGGGTAGGGTTAGGGGTAGGGTTAGGGGTAGGGTTAGGGTTAGATGTGAAAATTTTGACGTATGATTTCGAAATACTGGCCGACAATATGATGTTTGTGGGAGTGGCGCCACTGAAACTCTGCCAAATATGACGCCAATAGCGTGCGGCTGGTGCCCCCAATCGTTGGCGAATTGTGCGTTTGACCAGCATCCAGAGGCCCTCGATTGTTTGTGTGTGTGTATGGGACTGTGCGCGATTATAGGGAACTCCGGCGTCAAAATTGTCAAATCTAACGCTAATCCTAACCCTACCGCTAACCCTAATCCTAATCCTACTCCCTAACCCTAACCCCTACCCCCTAACCACGCAAATTTATCGATCATTAAAGCATACAAATCGGCAAACACCAACAAACAAAACACACCCCAAAAAAAAAACACCCAGAATTGTTCTGCAGCGTCGAAAAAAACCCAGATCTGGGGGAAACAACCAAGCATTGGCAGCCCTGATGTCGACGTGACTGTCTTCTTTGTTTCGTTGTGGCTTTTCCGATCACTGTTTGGAGTGCGGCGACGGGAGAGAACTCTGACTAAGTCATCCAAGGCTTTTTATTCTTCGTCCGGATTTGCCAGTAGAGCCGAACTTTATTATCAGATATTACTAGTCAATGTGGCCACGTTTGGTGAAATTCACGGTCTGGACATGAAGGTGATCAGATAAAAATTGTTCAAACTGGTATCATTAAAAATTGATTATTATGATGGATGCATATAAAATGCTACAGTGGTTTTAGATTTTAAAAATATAAATCATATAGCGCTAGTAGCATAGAAGGCATTTAGGCTACCTCTGATTAAATTATAGAGGCCGAAAATATACCCTAACAGGGCCTCAGTCACATGTCAGTTGCGGACTTTCTGCGACTTAAATTGCGCACTTTGGCGACTTCCACCACTGCCGAGATTATCTCCCACGCCGCGACGCGCGGCATGGATTGGGGCTAAACTAGATAGCTGGGACTCACAAGCAGCATCTCCTGCAGCTTCCTTCATTTTATTTGCTTGTGAATCCCAGCCATCTAGTTTAGTCCCAATCCACGCGGCTAGCGGCGTGGGAGATACTCTTGGCGGTGGCGGATAGTCCCCGGAAGTCCACAATTTTCAGCCTCGATAATTTGGGACCGTTATTCGGAGGATAGTCGGCATTCAAACTTAATTACTAAATGTTACTCAGGAATGTGGCCATGTTTGGTGAAATTCACGATATGGGTTTGGTAGTGACCAGTTAAACATTTTCAAACCAATATATCATCAACTGAAAATGAAAACTGATATGATTAATAGTTATAATAAAAAAAAAACACTGGCCGAGACTGTCATGGCGGGATGATAATAGAAGGCTTAGTGACAAACAATAAGTCTGTGAAAAACTGACCTTTCAAATGTTTTAAGTCATGTCAAATTATAAAACATAACAAATTTAAACATTTTACGTCTTTAGGGAAATACACTTTGTGTTTTTTGCAATCACATTATTAGTAGATAAATGTTTAGTTATAAACTGTATAAACGTGTACAGAATCCCCCAACTGGGCTGGTTTCTGATCATTATGAAACAGCGAGGGCAAAAAAAAATTTTTTTTGTTTCAACACTTATTGGAAACTAATCTTTGTGAAACTTCCCACACTTGTGTAAAAATGAACGCATAATTAAAAAAAAAAGTACCTTAAATTGAGGTAGTCTCACTAATTTAGAAGATATTTACTGTCAAATACACCGCTTGCTGAATTTAAAAAAAAAACATATTTATCGTTTGCACGCCAAAACTAAATTATGCTACAATGTGGCATTTCTATTTTAACTCCTAATAATTGTCTCAATATTATTTTTTATGTAAAGAGTACGGAAAATTAGTTTCTCAATGAGGGTCAATGCAGACTTATTTTCATTGTCGCAAGATGTTTGAGTGCACATGCCGGAAGAGGCAGATTTAATTGCTGATTAGCGTCCATGGCGATATTATCGCTAACTTTAGCATTTGCATTTGTTTTCAGATGCATTAATTTTCACAACTTTAACTTTTATTCCCCATGTCTTTAGTGGACAGACATATTGTAAGCACATTCAACACGTGTCTTTCAGTTTTGATTCACAATGATCTCTGTAATGTTTCAGTACAAAGACAGACCAACCTAGACAGCGGACCACGCACACTACCAGCATGGATGATTTTGCCGGTAAGTTACACAGGTTACAAATTTATAATAGATGTAGAGAGCAGTAATAGAACCAATAGGTTTGGGCAGCAATTAAAAAAAAAGTGTACGAAGGTAGAGAAATAATTGATGTATTGAATAGCTGGAATTCTTCGCGTTCACTGAGTTTAAACTCCCGTAGAAAGTTCTAGTCCATTTCTGAATTTTTAATCATGTTCAAGCTTTATGTGCATGTCTGTTTTACAGATCTAGCTTATTTGTATGTAGACTGTTGGTTCCTTACCTGTCAGGCAGAGGTACTCCAACTTCGAAGGGAAGTCTTGCCATATACTCAAGGAGTTGTGTGGAGTCTTGCCATATACTCAAGTAGTTGTGTGGAGTCTTGTCATATACTCAAGTAGTTGTGTGGAGTCTTGCCATATACTTAAGGAGTTGTGTGGAGTCTTGCCATATACTCAAGGAGTTGTGTGGAGTCTTGCCATATACTCAAGGAGTTGTGTGGAGTCTTGCCATATACTCAAGTAGTTGTGTGGAGTCTTGTCATATACTCAAGTAGTTGTGTGGAGTCTTGCCATATACTCAAGGAGTTGTGTGGAGTCTTGCCATATACTCAAGGAGTTATGTGGAGTCTTGTCATATACTCAAGTAGTTGTGTGAAGTCTTGTCATATACTCAAGTAGTTGTGTGGAGTCTTGTCATATACTCAAGTAGTTGTGTGGAGTCTTGTCATATACTCAAGTAGTTGTGCGGAGTCTTGTCATATACTCAAGTAGTTGTGTGGAGTCTTGCCATAAACTCAAGGAGTTGTGTGGAGTCTTGTCATATACTCAAGTAGTTGTGTGGAGTCTTGTCATATACTCAAGAAGTTGCGTGGAGTCTTGCCATATACTCAAGGGGTTGCATGGAGTCTTGCCATATACTCAAGGGGTTGCGTGGAGTCTTGTCATATACTCAAGTAGTTGCGTGGAGTCTTGCCATATACTCAAGGAGTTGTGTGGAGTCTTGTCATATATTCAAGAAGTTGCGTGGAGTCTTGTCATATACTCAAGGGGTTGCGTGGAGTCTTGCTATTTACTCAAGGGGTTGCATGGAGTCTTGTCATATACTCAAGGGGTTGCGTGGAGTCTTGAAATATACTCAAGTAGTTGTGTGGAGTCTTGCCATATACTCAAGTAGTTGTGTGGAGTCTTGTCATATACTCAAGGGGTTGCGTGGAGTCTTGCCATATACTCAAGGGGTTGCGTGGAGTCTTGCCATATATAACGGTTAGGATTTTTTCACGTGGACTTGGACTTCTAGTAATTCCCCCTGGTCTCTGGGTGGTGAGATTGGACACCCCTGTTCATTGTTGCGCACGTAGAAAATCCTTTGGCAGTTGAAAAAAAAAAAAGTAGCCTAACGGCGCTGCCCAGGCAATATTTGGAGTGAAAAATCTACGCAAAGTATTTTAGGATCCTCACCGGGGCTGCAGAGCCTGTGCACTGTGCTGAGCTTCTTCGGACTCAGACTTGAGTTAGAAAAAGAACCGAGCACTTATGGGTTTACACCCGTGTGCCATGATGTTAATCCATCGACTAAACTAACAACTAAACTCTCCTTCAGTTTTTTATAAAAGTAGTCCACCTCTCCTTTGGAACTTTACTTATTTATTGCAACCAGTAACACTAAGTGCCTTAATTTTAAAATGTTACCTGTTACTTATTAGCCTCTTTTTTACCATATTTTAAATCTTTATAGAAGAGGAAGTTGTGGAAAATCCGACGATAAGGGCAGCGTATAACCTGGCTCCATTACATCAGAGCCAGCCTCTACGCTGGGACTATGAGGTAAGACTTGGGTCATATGGCCTTATGCAGTGTTCTTCATCCTGGTGGTCCGTCAGAAATTTTTGCACAGTCATAAAAGAGCAAACAGAAGATCCTCACAGTCTTCTCCCCCTCTCCCCCTCCCCCCCCAACCAACAGCATTCTTTGATGACCTAACTGGGGGAAGAGAAGAAGTGACAAGACCCCCTTCTAATATTTGGTAAAGTAAAGGACCCTTTTCCACACCTTTCAGGTAAATTGGGTATGTAGGGCTAGACCTATATTTTATAGACCAATGGCACAAGATGGGTGACGTGGTCAGCATCACCCGGCCGCCTTTACTTCCCAGGACTGCACATGGTACCCACTCAAGGCTGGGCGCACCTGGGAGCCAAGGTCATTTTTGAAAAAAGCAAACCCACGACCATCAGATTCGTAGTCGAGCGTCTAGCCGCTACGCCACAGCAACCCCCCCTTTTATATTTGGTCAGGGAAAATTTCATCGTTGCTGGCGTTTGTGGTCTAAGCCATATTTTTGGCCACTTCTGTAAATTACCAGTTATATCATTGCTGCTTGTGTTTTAACCATTGAACTATATTCTTGCAACCATTGTATAAAATGCACAGTACACTGCTAGTTGTGGAGGCTTTTCTACCCATGGTATCCTGTGTCAGTTTAATTTAAAAAATAAAAAACTTTTTACTGTCCTTCACGGGGCTGCATGGTCTCGAGGCATGGTGCATTGGACTTCTAGTAAATCCCCCTGGTCTCTGGGTAGTGAGATCGGACACCCGTGTGAAGTTATAAGACAGAAGGATAAATAGAAGGAAGTGAATTTCCCTGGCAGATTTGCTGTTGGAGCATGATGTGTTGGGCCTTTACATATTCTTTGTGCTTGGAGATTTACGCATTGTGTTGTGGTTTACAGCCAGGCTGCAGTATCTGTACCTTTCCTTCTATTTTTCAGCTAATAATTCTTTGTCTTTTTCCTCTTAACATTCACCAGCAGGAATCTCCAGTTAAAAGCTCTGGTTGTCATCCACTTCTGGAGTGTGGTCATGTTCCAGAATTTGAATTCTTCATGCACATCCTATCACAGATCTGGCTTACTTGTATGCAGATTGTTAGCTCTTACCTCTCAGGCAGATGCAGCCTGACTTTGGAGGGAAAACCGCTAATTATTAGCCTTTTACGTCATGCTTTTTAAGGAATCAATGGGTCTATCCCCCCTCCCCCCTTTTCCCCTGAAAAAAATTATGCCCTGGCATCCCTATGGGGATAGCAGATAATTAATTAGTCACCTTTTCAACAAGTTTGCTAATGGGCATTGGGTTTACCCCCCCCCCCCCCCCCCCCCCCCCCCCCCCCGCCTAAAAAAATAGGGCATAGGAGCTGAGTCAGGGATTGCATATTTTAAACCTTGGTATAATGATGTTGGTTGGCTAGTTCTTTCCTTGCTGCCTCTCTTTCCTAGAAAATGCACAAAATTATTCACTAGTCATTTTATGAACAGCAACAACAAAATCCTTTCACTTGGATTTGGAACTGGATGTTTGTCTTAATAAACTTCTTAAGCACTAACCACTGTGTTATTGCAGTTTCTCTAAAGATATATACTTAGAGCAGCCTGTAAGAACAGTCTGTGTCAGCTGAGCAATATTGTTTTTCTTTCAGGTTCATCTCATCGGAGAGAAGATTTATGATAAAATTATTCACTTGTGTGAAACCTGCGAGCTGCCGATACTTGTTTATGGACGTTTGGTGAGTAGTTGCCTTTAGAACACAGTGTGTATTTGATACAGGATGAGGTTGCAAACGAAAGACAGTCTGCATTTGATATGAGATGAAGGTAGAAACAGAGATAGCTTGGTGATGTTGTAGTTTACAGACAGGTTGTGACATTACCCATTTCAACCCATCATATCCAGTTTCAACAAACCCCTGATTAGTCACCGGGTCCTGGAACTTGCATGGAGGGTCAGGATTTTACGTGAGAGTAGGTTCGAACAAGAACACTTGGGGGTTTTTCTACAGTTCAGATTGTCCGACAAAGACCTGTCTGTACAAACTCTAGAAGAAGAGCAGTGAGAATGCAGGCAGCTTTATAACTTTGAATGAACTTTGCCCGCAGTATGTGCAGGGTACCTTTCAGAAAGCGATTCTCTGTATGGGTTCCCTAGGCTGCATTTACTTCAGAGAGAAAAAGGTCAAATATACTGCCACTTAACAAGTGTGTTGTAAGAATCTACTGATTAGGGATATTTCCTTTGAAGCCCAAGTGCATCTGCCTGACAGGTGAGAAACCAACAGTCTGCGTACAGATAAGCCAGATCTGTAAAACTTTGCACACAGAACTCAAGTTCTGAAGCAAGACCAATCTCCAGATAGAAGTAACAGTCAGAACTTTCCAATAGAGTTTACAGGCAGAACTTTTCAAAGAAGTTTACAGCCAGAACTTTCCAGTGGAGTTTACAGCCAGTGAGTGCGAAGAAGAAAGGGAAGGCAAACTGCTTCTAGTAAAATTGCATAATAAACTCTCACAAATAGCCTACAAATGCTGTGGTTGGTTGTGGCATAGTGAAAAAGATTAACAACTAACAACCCAGTAGTCATCCTTCTATGTCTGGTGTGGTTGCATCAAATTTGCCATCATATCTCCTTCCTCCGGTTAGCGGGGTAGGGGTATCCCCTATCAAAGGAGAAGTAAGACGCCTCCTTTCCTCCGCTAGTCTACGGGACACCCTTGGGCAAGGTGGAGTACCCGTTTAGCCCCCCAATCAGGGTTACGTGAAGCCATGGAAGCAGGTGGTGGATGGAGTGTAAGAGCAGCCGACAGGTATTGTTGGTTATGGTCTGCACTCTGCGGCGATAGGCAGATGATCTCATCAGTAGAGACAATGGCTATGGCCACCGACTAGTATAGTCACTGCTCAGGAGGAAAGCAATGGCAAACTACCTTCTGCAAATTTTGCCAAGAACCCATAACAATCATGAAAGAAAACATAACACAGAAGAGATCTGGTGGCGAGACCCCCAGGCCAGGCAGATCAGATAACACTGGGGAAGAGTGTGATACAGGGGTCGGTACTAGTAATCGTGATGACGGAGTTAATCCTGACTGTGTTACCAAGGAAATCCACTGTGTCAGACTAAGAAACAGAATGCGAATAGGAACGTGGAATGTGAGAAGTCTGTATGAAGGAAAGCTTAAAGTAGTATGTGATGAGATTGAAAGATTAAATATTCAGATCTTAGGAATTTGTGAACATCGTTGGAGTGGCAAGGGACATTTTATCAATGAATATGGAAGCTTTTTCGTATATTCTGGTAGAGATGTAAGAGGCCAGAGCGGAGTGGCATTTTGTTTAGATAAAACAACAGCAAAAGCTATTATGGGATATAATCCAGTTAGTGATAGAATCCTAACTATCAGACTTAAAGGCCGTCCAAAAAACATAACTTTCATGCAGGTATATGCACCAACTTCAACAGCAGAGGAGGGCGAAATTGAAGATTTTTATGCCATACTGCAAGACACATTAAATAAAATTAATCAGAATGATATAATAATAATAATGGGAGATTTTAATGCTAAAGTAGGTACAGGCAGAGATGAAAATGAGAGACACGTTTTAGGAAAATTTGGATTGGGTAATAGAAATGAAACAGGAGAAAAATTGATTGAATTTTGCATAGAAAATGAATTAACAATAGCTAACACACTTTATAAACAACACCCTAGAAGGCTTTTCACATGGACATCCCCTGACGGTGTTACCAAAAATCAGATAGATTACATTTTAATACAAAGAAGATGGAGATCGAGCATAACATCTGCAAAAACCCTGCGAAGTGCAGATTGCGATACAGATCATCAGTTACTAGAAGCAGATCTAAAATTATAACTCAAAAAGCTTACCCGAGGACCAAGGCCATTTCGATTTGATCTCACAAAAATACCAGATGCATACAACGTAGAAGTGAAGAACCGTTTTGAGGTCTTGATGTCTGTACAAGAGGAAATGACACCTGATGAACTGGCGGTACAAGCTAGGGATATCTTGATAACAGCAGCTAAAGACTTAATACCCACCAGGACTAAGCAACATAAACCATGGATCACACCATACACGTTAGAACTAATAAAACAACGAAGAGAACTGAAAAAGAAAGGAGAAACCAATGATAGTAGGATGAAGTATAAATTTTTTACACGAGAAATAAGAAAGTACACAAGAAAGGATAAAAATCAGTATGTACAAGATTGCTGTATTAAAATAGAGCAGCATCACAAAAATGGAAGAGATTACGAAATGTTCAAGGAAATGAAGTTATTGACAAGAAATTTTCAACCTCAGTTAAATGTTATTTGTGACAGGTTGGGAAATACTTTAACAGAATCTAGACAAATTCTAGGAAGATGGCAGGAATACTGCAGCGGAATGTATGATATGAATGACAGTGAGGATATGAATGATATACATGAACCAGTAACAGTAGAGGCAGAACCTGAACCTTCATTAGATGAAATTTCATGGGCAATAAGGAGCCTGAAAAATGGTAAATCACCTGGATGTGATGAGATACCAGCTGAATTGATTAAAGCGGGAGGAGAAGAAAGCATAAAAATCTATCATGCATTATGTGAAAAGATATGGAAATATGGTATTTGGCCAAAAGACTGGAAGAGAACTATCTTCATTCCAATACCAAAAAAGGGTGACCTGAAATTATGTACAAACTATCGAACTATTGCCCTGATCAGTCATGCAAGTAAAATTCTACTAAAAATTATAATGAGAAGACTGCAAAAGAAAATGGAAGAAGAGATTAATGTAGCTCAGGCTGGATTTAGACAGGGAAGAGGAACAAGAGATCATATATTCAACATGCGTTTAATAATAGAGAAGTGTAGAGAATTTAATGTAAATCTGTTCTTATGTTTTGTGGATTATTCAAAAGCATTTGACTGTACAACATCAGAAGCTTTGGGAAATCATGAGGAATATGGGCTTTCCATCACATATAGTGCAGCTCATTAAAATGCTCTATCAAGACCAACAAGCAGCAGTCAGAATAGATGGAGAGACATCAGACTGGTTTGGCATCAAGCAAGGAGTCCGTCAGGGATGTGTGCTGTCACCGTATTTGTTCAACCTGTACGCCGAAAATATAATGAGAAATGTAAGAGATGATATAAACAAGGAACAATATGATGCCCTAAACATCGGTGGTCATGAAATACCAGAAATTCGTTATGCTGATGATACAGTATTACTATCAACATCACAAAATGGTTTAGAAAACTTATTAACCTCACTCCAAAGAAATAGTGAAAATCATAACTTATTTCTTAGCACAGCAAAAACAAAGATAATGCATACAAACAAAACTGCCATAGAGAAGGAAATATATGTTAATGAGGAAAGATTGGAAGTGGTGGAAAATTTTGAATATCTTGGGTCACTGGTTACCAACAATGGTGACACAATGAAAGAAATTAAACGGCGACTATCAATTGCTCTTCAAAGACTAAAACAACTGAATAAATTATGGAATTGTACAGATAGAATTACAAAGGTCAGATTTTTAAGAGCATGCATCTTTCCCATTGCAACATACGCCTGTGAGACCTGGACACTTACTAAACAAGCGGAACAGCGCATAAATGCATTTGAATATAAATGTTACAGACAGGTTCTAAGAATATCTTGGGTAAAGAAAAGAACAAATGCATCCATACTTCAAGAGCTGAATATTGAAGAGGGTTGGCTAGTAAAGACAATAAAACAAAGAAAATTGAAATATTTTGGTCACTTGAAACGTCATGGAGGTCTAGAGAGAACAATAATGGAGGGGTATATGCCTGGGAAGAGAGGAAGAGGAAGGCCAAGGAGAAGATGGGTGCAGGATGTGGCAGATGATCTCAAGATGGGTGTATCAGACGCAGGACATCTTGCTCATGATAGGAAGGTTTTCCGGAGGGTTGTTATGGCAGCGAGGTTCCGCGAGGGACATGCTACTGAATGAATGAATGAATCTCCTTCCTTCCTTGGGAAATTCTTAACTTTTTTTCACACAGTAAACATAATACACAACTTTAATGGTATGGTACACTTTAGTTTTTTTTTAAAGGCAACCCGGGGGGGGGGGGGGGGGGGGGGGGGGGGGGGGGGTTATAATTAATTAATGCCTGCATATTCCCAGAATTCTGCATCTGTGGCTTATGCTCTGCGAATAGCTTTTAATTCCAAGGTGCAGATTTCGATTCCAGTTGGGCGAAGGGGTAGGGAACCGCTTTGCATTGGTTTTGACCATGGATTGAGAGCAGACCATTCAGGAAGCAGAGGCAAACTACTAAATCCAAAATTGCCTAGTAAAACAAAACTGCACCATCCTGTATATAATAGGCAACTAACTGATTTATATGGGAAATCAGTCATTTTTCCATTCCACGATACAGATACAGCAAAAGTTTTCATATTATAAGGGTCAGAATGTGTAGGATAATTAAACTTAAGGGTGGGTGAATTATGCCCGTATATTCCTAGAAACAAGTTCGGGATATAAAATAAAACATTTGATGAGCCCCTGCAGTTTTGTTTGAAAGGGTGCACATATTTGTTCATTATGTACCATGTTAAATTCATAATTTTATTTAATAGTAAGTAGTTAATTGCTGTGTTAAATTCATAATTTTATTGAATACTCATTATTTGCTGTGTTATATTCAAGAATCTGTTTACATTTTTGTACATTAAATGCCATATAAAATTTATTGAATATTTGTTATTTGCTGTGTTAAATTCATAATTCTATGAACATTTTTGTTTATTGTATGCTGTGTTAAATTCATAATTTTATTTTAAATTATGTTCATTACTTTGCAATGTTAAATTCTTAATTCTGTTTTTTTGTTGTTGATTGTGTACAGTGTTAAATAATTGTTTGTGTGTTTTAATTCCAGCTCCCTTGTAAACACATCTTCTGTTTTGATTGTGCACGCAAGTGTGACAAATCATGCAAGAGGTAAGTGCAATGCTGTTATTGTCTGCACAACATCATCAATTTATGTGTTTGTATGAGTATAAGTGAGTTTTAATGTATGTGTGAATTTATGTATATAAATGTGTATATGCTTGTGTGACGGAACATATGTGGGTATGCCTGCTATTCTGTGTTTTTCGTTCTTACATTAGTAAAACATTAGTAAACTCCCTGTGTGGATTCTGGGGTTCCATTGTGAGAAAAAAAAGAAAACACCCACTGCAAGCATGTTGTAGGAGGTGACTAGTTAGGAGGGTTTCCTTCAAAGTCGGGGTGCATCTACTTGAAGGAAGAAACAAAGAAACAAACTAACTTTATTTTCAAAGGGGTGCAAATTGGGCACACAGACTCGTCTTACAATCGGCCCTTCCACGCAAACATCCTTTCATACAGCAGTTGTATTTTATCAATAAAGTATGTTATGATCATATAATAGTATGCATATTTTGAATACCAAGAAAAAACACAAAGGCATGAGTCACTTACTTACATACCTTCAATCACATACATGCGCATATGCGCGCGCACACTCACCCACACCCACCCACGTTTGCACACACACACACACACTACTTGCCTGAGAGGTATGGAGCCAACTGTCTGCATATAAATAAGCCACATCTGTAAAACAGACATATATGCAAAAACTTAAGTTCTGGATTAGGACCAAAGTCCAGGAGTGGACGAACAAACAGAATTCTCCACCGGAGTTTAGAGCCAATGAATGCTATGAAGAAGAAGAAATCGGTAAACTAGCTTACATATAATCCTTTGCAGACTTAGACTTATCCATGAGTGGATAGATTTAACAGCACAAGTCTTTTACAGAATGGGGTGGCCTTTCTAGCAGCGTCGCCTGCAGCTGGGATCAAACCCGGTATTATGAAGCGTGTTCGTAACATCTAAGCCACAGACCCTGACAAAGATCATGAAATTGTTGTATTGAGCTTTATTCATCATTCTGTCGTGTGTTGAACTTTATTTATCATGCTGTCTTGTATTGAACTTTATTTATCATTCTGTCTTGTATTGAACTTTATTTATCATTCTGTCTTGTGTTAAACTTTATTCATCATGCTGTCTTGTATTGAACTTTATTTATCATCCTGTCTTCTATTGAACTTTATTTATCATGCTGTCTTGTGTTAAACTTTAGTCATCATGCTGTCTTGTGTTAAACTTTATTCATCATGCTGTCTTGTATTGAACTTTATTTATCATCCTGTCTTCTATTGAACTTTATTTATCATGCTGTCTTGTGTTAAACTTTAGTCATCATGCTGTCTTGTGTTAAACTTTATTCATCATGCTGTCTTGTATTGAACTTTATTTATCATCATGTCTAGTATCGAACTGTATTCATCATGCTGTCTTGTGATATCCCCTACAGATGCGCCGCCAAAGTTCAGAAAGTGGAGAAATCAGCCCTGGGCACCGTCTATGTGTGCACACACGGTGCCCCCAAGCACAGCACTAAAGGCTGCCGGAGAACATACCTCTCTCAGAGGGATCTACAAGCACATATAGCTCACAGACACATGCCGAAAGCAAGCAGTTCCAGCTCTACATCTTCATCAACCAGTGCTCAGTCTCAGCCCGCACCTAACCAGCTGCCTCTTACCAAGCAACAGGCAGCTCAACAGGCAGCACAGAAGCAACTGGGAACCCAGGACATGCACCATGCTTCTCCTGTGCAAAGTCATCACCAGCAGTCGGTGTTACCAGTTCAGTCCTCCCTGGTTTCACCAGTGCCGCATCACCTGACCCATCAGCAGTCGGGCTTGCCAGTGAACTCACAACAGATGAGTCCTGCCGCACAGCTCATTCCTGGCCTGGGAGATTCACGAACTCCCATGGCCACAGCAGCTCATTCAGTAATGGGTCACAATTCGCCTTTAATGCAACCCGCTGCAAGTCCCGGTGCAATGCAGCAAGGGATGGGTCTTCCATATGGTTCGGCACCCCAGGCCAACCCTGACATGTTCCATTCTCTAGAAATGGGTCAGCAGCCAGGCATTCCTGGGTCACATATGCAGGCGGGTCAAACTCATCAACCATACCCACAACCTGCACAGTTCCCACCAGGGATGATGCCACAGATGGGCTCCCAACAGCTGCAGCCCTCAGTGCCGCCCCCTCTCCATCCACCACCTTTCGGTCATCCTCACACTTCCATGCCAGTGCCTCCAAACATGGATAATTACAGTGAGCCTCAGCCGCGCACAAATGTCAATCTAATAACGGTGCCGATTCAAGATGAGGGTCAGTACCGACCACTGCCAAATATTAATTCCTCTGTAGGGCCACATCCAGGAGGACCATATCCTCAAACTCGGCCCAGCATGCCTAGTCAGACCATAGCTTTCACGCAGCCTGTACTTTCATCCAGCACTTATTCTTCACCCACCACCTTCCCTCATATGGTTGGTCAGCCTCCTCCACATATGCAGGCACCAGACAGCCCTCAAGGGCTGCCGTTCAACCAGCCAAACGCACCGTTCAACCAGCTAAATGCACCAGTCAACCAGCCAAACGCACTTCACCCCAACAACCCTGGCCACATTGTCAATTCTAGACCAGGAATCGGAGGTAGTTTGCACCAGGGCGGGCATCCAATGACAGTGGGTGTGGTTAGACCCCAAGGCGGTGCTGGACTTATGCCCACGCCTGTGGCAGCACCAGGTGGTCAGGGAGTGGTCAACAGGTTCCCTCCACATGGGCAGTGGCCACCACAGAGAAGTGTGCACCCTAGCTTGACACAAGGGCAACAACAGCAGCAGCAAAGGCCACCCCCACCACTGATGGAAACTCAGTTTCAGCCAAGCGGAAGACCACAACATAATGAAAATCAGTTTCAGCAAAGTGGAAGATCACCACACACTGAAACTCAGTTTCAACAGAGTGGAAGACCACCACATGCTGAAAATCTGTTTCAACCGAGCGGAAGACCACCACACTCTCAAACTCAGTTTCAACAGGGTGGAAGGCCACCGCACACTGAAAATCAATTTCAGCAGGGTGGAAGACCACCACATGCTGATAATCAATTTCAGCCGGGTGGAAGACCACCACCACACACTGAAAATCAATTTATGCAAGGTGGAAGACCACCACCACACACTGAAAATCAATTTCAGCAAAGTGGAAGACCACCACCACACAATGAAAATCAATTTCAGCAGAGTGGTGGAAGACCACCACATGCTGATAATCAATTTCAGCAGAGTGGCAGACCACCACCACAACACACTGAAAATCAATTTCAACAGGGTGGAAGACCACCACATGCTGATAATCAATTTCAGCAGAGTGGAAGACCACCACCACCACACAATGAAAATCAATTTCAGCAGGGTGGAAGACAACCACCACACACTGAAAATCAATTTCAGCAGGGTGGAAGACCACCACCACACACTGAAAATCAATTTCAGCAGAGTGGCTATTACCATTAATATCCCAGTAAAGTGCAACTTGAATTGGTGTGCTTATTCCTAATATTTTGACTTTGTTGTTTTATAAAATGAACAGATACCTTGTTTGTGGATTGTCCAGCTGTATTTTGAGAGTGTTTATGTGTCTTCTTCTTCTTAATGTGCCCTTTATCTCCCAGTGGCCGTTGGACCCTGAACCAGCATGACTTTTATTTCCTTTGCTGTCTCCTATGCAGTGCATGCCACCTGCATCTTATTATCATTTTGCTTTTCCTCTCCTGCATGTGTTGTTGGTCTCCCTTTATTTCTATTGCTATGTGGGTTCCACTGTAAGGACATTCTAATGATATATTTGATGCAGTGTGATGAACCATTATCCATGAAGCAGTGTATCACATATAATGTTGCTTGTTTGGTCTGAGGGTATTCAGGCACCCAGATAAATATTGTAACATAAAGCACAGTTTGATATAGACCGAGAGCCCTATGTGACGTATAACAGCACAAAAGGATGATAATACTTTGTGTTTGAAACAGTGTTTATGTATATTGTCCAGAACAGTGTTTCCCAAACTTTTCCTAGTCGCTGCATCTTTTTTCAATTAGTTTTTCCACGGCGCCCTAACCTAAGTAAAATTATGACTATTTGTATGTAAGAGATCAAAACAAATTTTTTTGCGGCTTCCTGGGGGGGGGGGGGGGGGCACAGTGTGGGAATCACTGGTCTAGAAAAGATAGGGGTCGACCATCATAAGAGCCAGGTTGACCATATCTGTGATGGACATAAGAAATAAGGCCATGGTCAGCCAGTGTGTTGGTGAAGTGATTAACCTTTTCACCCTGTAAAAACCTTTAAAAAATTAACCTTTTCAGAATGTAACTAAATTTTTAAGAATAGACTACTTAAGAAACATTTTGTAAAAAGTGACTACCTAAGGAATTGCAGCAATCAGATGTGTTGGGCCAACAGATGCAGATATCACAGCCTATCTGTAAACCACAAGGTGTGTCAGCTGCTCTTTTAGTGGGCAAATGTTAAAGAAGAAGAAGAAGAAATTCCCTGTTCCATGCTCTTGGTTGGCGAACATTCGTTCTGTGGAGACGGACGGAGCCATATGGGTGAAAACCTGATAGTGCCCAGCTGACCATTGCGCCATTAATATACATTTTTGCCACGAATGTCTTAACTTTTTGTACACCAAGCAACTCACCATGCATTTCTTGATCGCCCCAAAGACAACATACTTTTCCTGCTTACTTCTACACCATATAAATGCTACCTTCACATCTGATTTGTAAGTTTACCATTTTCTGTTTCATAAAGTACCTTTCAGACCTAAATATTGAATACTCTTGAGTGTAGCATCTCAGAATGTGACAATTTTCTTTTAACTCTTTGAGTCCCAGCTCGTTTAGCATCACAGGCCCAGGGGGTAGTAAAGAAAGTAATAAAATCGGCGCATCATGCGTTCATTGGGCTTCTAGGTAGGAACCTATGAACGTATGATGCGTTCCTTGGGACTCAAAGAGTTAAGTATAGCATCTTAGATTAGAACCAATTTCTATTGAGGATAGCATATTAGAATATAACAAGTTTCTTGCTAGTATCGTGTCTTGGAATGTGACAAGGCTTTTCAGATATAGCATTTTTAGAATATGGCAAGTTTCTGTCAGGTACATCTTAGAATATTACAAGTTTCTTTCAGTTATAACGTCTTAGAATATTACAAGTGTCTTTTGAGTGTAGAGTCTTAGAATATAACAGGTTTAGATAAAAACTGCCAGCGACTGAAAGAATTACAACTACAGTATTGTTAGCCTTGTGGCTGGCTTCCCTGTCCAGATAATTCAGCCACAAAAGCCAACCATAGCAGAGAATATGTTTTACTGGGAGATGTGTTTTATCCATAAAAAGTAAGTAAAGGACCCCCTTTTCATGCCCTTGGGCGTATTGGGCATTTATGGCTAGACCTTTATTTTATAGACCAACACTTTGTGGGTGATATGGTCAACATCATGCCGGCCACTTTTACTTCCTAGGACAGTACCTATTCATTCAAAGCTGGGTTGGCCTGGGAGCTGAGGTCATTTTTTTTGGGGGGGGGGGGGAAGTCTGGCTATTTTGGGATTTGAACCCACGATCTTGGGAGCTGCAGGCGAGTGTCTTGCTGCTACACCAGGGCAGCTCCCATTTGCCATCCATGCTTTTGTGTATTTGACTTGAGTCATATTATGTAAATTGTTATGTGATCATAACATGCTTTAATAGTAAAGTATAATTGCTGTGTCAAAGATGTGTGTTTGGAAGGGCTGAAAGTAAGAGGGGCCCGCGCGCAAGTGTGTGACTCTTTCAAATAAAGTTTGTTTGTTTGATAAGGGACAGAGAAAGAATAGACCTACTGCCCCTTGACAGTTACATTGTCAGTGGCAGCAAACTGTGGTTGGTTGAAATTGTATACGTTGGCCAGAAAGACGCAACCTAGTGTATACCCCAGTTAAACATGTCTGCCACCCTTTTGTAGTTAAGGGTGAATGCAGAAGTTATATTGCACAGTAGAATGCCTGGTATATTTTGTGACTAGTGTCTGTAACTTGAAAGTATTCATGTTTTGTGTTTTATTGTGTATTGGTGTTGATTATGTTGTAATGCCCCTGATCAGATGCAGTGGAATCTGCCCGGCAATGAATAGGTGCTTTATTAATATCCTACCCCTAACAGTTGAAATCCACAGGTCACGGGACAGTCTAATATTTTAGGTGGTGGTAGATAGGCTGCACTCTTCTTATGGGACAAAGGTGGGTTGCGGTTAGGGCCAGTTCTAGATGTCTTACGATCTTCTAAAGTGTTGGACTGTACTGTTACATCATCTGGGGTAGGAAATTATTAAAGAACCATAAAATATCATTTGTTTCTTCCTATTTAAGTAGATAATATTGTCAAAATGGTAAAGCAAAGACATGCTTTTTTTGATACTTTTAAAATGATGTAAACATTATTGATTTAGTGATAATTCATTGTGTTGAAAGGCAGTATATATAATAAACAAATAGGCTTGTATTGATTGGCACTCGTAGAAAGACAGGGACACACTTCTGTGACACTTGTGTCCTTTCTTTCTACTTCTTTCTGTGAGTGCTGATAAATACAGATATTTTTTTTTTAAACCTAATATACCGTTTCCACGACCTTAATGGTTACCCATCTGTTTATTTGTGTGTGTTAAATAAAAGCCGGGAGTTGCCGTGGCGTAGCTGCTAGATGCTCAACTGCGGATCAGGAGGTCGTGGGTTCCCTCCTTGGTGGAACCGGGCTTTTTTCAAAATGACCTTGGCTCCCAGCTCGACCCAGCCTTAAATGGGTACCAGGTGCAGTCCTGGGAAGTAAAGGTGGCCGGCGTGATACTGAATACATCACCCATCTTGTGCCATTGGTCTATAAAATATAGGTCTAGCCCTATATACCCCTGAAAGGCGTGGAAAAGGGTCTTTTACTTGACTATTTAAAAAAAAAAAAACCAGTATGGCGGCAGACACTGTCCAGCTTTGACAAAGCTGTGATATCATTTGTTGTGTTTGGGGAATGTCTGTTGTATTGAACAATGTATTAAACTCTTGTTTACAACCTGTAGACTGCCATTCAGCATCAGAGAATTTTGGTTTGCTATTATGTTTATGTGTTAACTCTTTCATTCACTCAGGTGTTTCCTTTAATACTTTCATCCCACAAATGCTTTAAAAAAATGTATGAACCTGTAAGAATTCCCTGGAGAAAAAAAAATTCCTTCAAAACATATTCACAGGCACGGTACTAATCACAAAATTCACTTCACCTCGTTCAGGCGCTAGATTTTGTGGCCGTTCTCACGGGTTGTCCTATGTTCTAGGGGTGTAATGAGATGCCTTCCTTCCTCGTCTAAGCATATGGTGGTGAAAACTGGCTCACGTTTGTGGTCGACACACTGTCTTCCAGACAAAACTGTGCAGCTTTCTTGTCACAACCGTCTTTTCTGTGAACGACCCATTTCTCAAAAGTGATTGTTTTTGTGAATAGCTCAGGCAGCACATGTGTACAAGAAAAGGGGGAAAGCGCAAAAGGTGTGACGGTTCGTGACTATCGAATCATTGATGTTTTTGTATTTTTGCGCTCGTTAGCGGTGTCCATCTTCGGTGGTGGATGTGCTTAAAGCATTCTTTTTCTTTTTCTGCGTTCATCCGAAGACGTAATTGCGTTGTGTCCGTTTACAGCATGGCTGCGATATTTGCACCTTTCGGCCAACACATCCGACTTCTGCGGGCATTTGTTGACCGGGTTAGCCTTCCCGGTTTAAAGCATTTAAAACAAGCAACACCTGACACCTTTAGACATGTGACAGCCCTGGGAACGTATACGAAACCACACAGCCAAGCGAGGTGGGGTGAATTCCATGATTAATACCAAGGTCATTATTAATTTTAAAAACATTTATGTATCTGCATCTTGAAATGTTTTTGTTTGTTTGTTATTGTTTGAAATATATAATAGAGTAACCAATAAACACAAACAAAAAGAAGCATTAAACGGAATACCTTCAGTGAAGCCTAAAATAATATGTAATGGATGACTCATGCCATGATCTCTATCATTGAGACTTACTGGAAAATTGACACTGTGGCTTTAAATAAGCCATTGTGCATGAGGTCAAGAGGAAGGGCTGCTGGAAAGGACATTCGTAAGAAAATCTTTCCTGTTTACGCCGACAAATGTTTATCCCTTGAAGCGGTGCATAGCTGGGTTAACAAGTTTTCCCAGGGATGCTCTAAAATTGTTGAAGTCCGATCTTGTCGTCCTGTTGAGATTGCAACAGATGCATCCGTGGAGGAAAGGATTAGAGGTGACAGGCGAGTAATGGTTGACTTTGACTCTGTAGCAGCTGCAATAGGATGCTCCCTTGGTTCAGCATACAACATAATCCATGATCGATTGAGATTTAAAAAGTGTGCTCAAGGTGGGTACCCAGACAATTGACGCATGAACACAAAAT